AGTATGCATGAAAGAACATTCCAGCCAATAGCCATGCTCTGTTTCTGGGGACCCCTGAATGATTGCAAGTCAGGTGTTTCAATTTGCAGCTACCCAAGGTAAAAAAAATTTTTAGAGGATCAGGGGACCCTGTCAAGCATAAAGGGAGGTGTCCATGGGCATAGGGTGTCCAAAGGGACAGGAGGTTCAAAGGGAGGTGTCCAAAGGCACAGTATCAAAAGACACATGGACCAGTGTCACTTGGAGTTGTTTTGATACTTTTCATTATCTTGGACACCTGCATCATCTGCACTGTTGCAACTGAGCTTCCTAGCTCAGTTGCCCATGCTTTGAGATCACAGAGGGATGGGTTGAAAATGCTATTAGCTGAAAAGCTGCTATCACTTGAGTTTCTTGAAGCTAAGTGCAAAGCTGAGCAATTTTAATAGGAAATAGGCTTCAAAAGAGTAAGCATGCATTGGGCTGGTCTGTGGGTATGCATTTCTATGGAGGGCAATTGAAAGTGTACAAATGAATTTCCTTTTGAAATATTTTTCACAATCTTTGCAAAAACTATCTTTTGAGATGTAGAACAGATCCTTCAAGTGTGGGTATCAGAATAACACTTAGAATGTCTTGTACTCAACATATTTTTATCATTTTTGTAGCATTTGAGATGTTTGTGGACAGAAAATGTTCACAGGATTAAAACATATATCTCATTGACAACAAGAGTGCAAAATAAGTGTTACAAAAATTCAATTGTGTTGAAACACTAGGCAGAATATAAGAGAGTGTAAACAACAAATCAGCAGCCAGTAACAAACTGTCCAAAGAGCCAAAGTGCACTATGAAGAGGATGCCACTGCACCTTTTAAAAATTATTTTTGTGCCCCGGAGAGGGTAGCCTTGATTTAAATCACAATTTAAACCATTAGTAAGACTAGATTTAAATCATGGTTTTGCATGGATACCTGCCTTAACCATAGATAGAAGAACTTCACTGAAATATTCCCAAACAGGGTCTCTCTTATGGTCTGCTGCCATTATAGGTTTTCTCCTCCAGGGAAAGAATAATAGAATAAAGCTCGGGCTGTACACAAAAAGATCCGAAGAGCTGTGGATTATTCTGTTCAAAGGTTTCACTTTGATTATTACTGTTTGTCCTCACTCCTCACACTTAGCTTCTTGTGCAGGTCTATTCCACTCCCAACAACCTTCTATTCAATGAACTTTTTGAAATTTGGCACTTAAGAGGTAAGGGTTTGATTCTGTGTACACAGATCTGCAAAGGAACAATGGGATTAAGGCCTTTTTCTCAATTCTGTATGCTTATTTTCTAACATTTTTAATGTGAAGAAGAGGCATGTGATCTCTGCAGACACAAATTCACAGTTTGTGATGAAGCAAGTATCTGTGATAATACCTTATAGAGAGAAATTGCCCATTAATCTTACAGAAACCCCTAGAAGAGCATGACCTTGTGAATGGATTAATGGAATTCATTTACCAAAAAATTTAAACATTGCTTGCATATACAGCCTCATAATGCATAATTAAAATCTTATCTTTATTTCATAATGGGGCTATAATGTATCTTAAATGGAAAACTATCTTTAGATAGATTTTTCTCAAAATGCACTTAATTTATTTTTTAAAGGAGTTTGTTTTGTTCTTTAAACTTTGCTTAGACAAAGGGTGAACTGTCAAGCCACTGCAATGCCATGAATGATCTTTGCTCACAGAAGTGAATAGGCAACATTTTTCTTCCTTTATATGGAATTTTGCATATGCCATCAGAGGTCCCAGTACCCTAGACGTTACCACCCATTCCAGATGTTCAGGAAGCTGAAAAGGTGCACCCCCTTCACTTTTCACTAATATGTATTTTTGACAACTCAGAAGGAGGGACTTCTTTGGAAATAAGCATTTAGGCTAAGCAGTTTATATGGGGAAGTATATAGAATTTGTATATAATTCTGGAAAGTGGGTTATTCTTTAAATTTGATATTAGTTTTTGTATAATATGCACCAAATTAAAACAGAGTTGTAGCTATAACTAAACTCTAATGCTGGAAACTGCTTCAAATTCATAAGCCCCATCACATATTTAGGCATAGCACCTACATAGTTAGAAAGAAGGAGCTATCATATTGGATCAAATCATCTCTCTATTCCACTATTTCCTAATGTAACTTAGAGCAGCTCTCCAAGGTTCTAGACCAAGTTGTTTCTGCTACCTAAAGCTTTTTGAGATTCCTGGAATCCAAAGTATATTTGATTTGGAAGTGTGATCCTGAAAAATGGGCATCTATATCACATTATTAGGGAATTTCTGGAATCCATGCTAAAACAGCACTCTGGTTTAAATTAATCTTTCTCTGAACTTGCATCTTTTCATTTGTCTTTCTTGTGGACATATATTTTGCTCCCAAAATAAGTGATAAAGACTTGAAATGCTGAATGTTTGGAAAATTCTTACTGAGATTTGTTTCATTTCCAGGATTTAGTGTAATAAGATATACAATAGAGCAGTGGTGGCGAACCTATGGCACGCATGCCACAGCGGGCACCCTGAGCACTCTCAGTCAGCACGCAAGCCAAGTCACCCCAGCATCGCCCCAGCAGGCGAGCATTGGATAACAGTGCACATAGGGGCCATGCGCATGCTTGGAAAGGAGTAGCGGCACCAGGCGATGATGTCATGAACCATGACTCATTAGCCACAACTCATCCGAGCTTTTGCATGGCCAGTCAGTGCACTGTATTTGCTTGGACTGGCTGTGAATTGTTTTTTCTAAACTAAAACCTCAATATTCAGGTTTTATTGCAGTGTTGGCACTTTGGGATAAATAAGTGGGTTCTTGGTTGCAGTTTGGGCACTTGGTCTCTAAAAGGTTCACTGGGCACTTGGACACTTGGTCTCTAAAAGGTTCACCATCACTGGGTTAGGGTTAGAAAAATGAGGTGTCCTGTCATGATTTTGCCTGTTGGAATGTGTTTAGAATGGGCAGAAATGAGACTTCCGGTTGGCGTCGTGACGAGATGGCTGTGAAGAGGGGGGCTCCCTTTAAAGGGCTCCTCAACGAAGCCTTCTTCAAAATCACCCTCTTTTCATTGGAGCTTTAGCCCTATATTAAGGTTAGGGGAGTGCACCAGGGTAGGGTTAGACCAGTGATGGCGAACCTATGGCACGCGTGCCACAGCGGGCATGCAGAACCCTCTCTGTTGGCACATGAGCCAAGTCACCCCAGCATCACCTCAGCAGCCAAACATTGGATAACAGCGCACATAGGGGCCATGCGCATGCTCGGAAAGGAGTAACGGTGTCAGGTGATGATGTCATGAGCCACAACTTATTAGCTGTGACTCATCCAAGCTTTTGCATGGCCGGTCAGTGCGCTGCCAAGGAGATATATATATATATATATATATATATATATATATATATATTTGCTTGGGCTGGCTCCGAGTTGTTTTGTCTAAACTAAAATCTCAGTTTTCAGGTTTTATTGTAGTGTAAATAAGTGGGTTTTGAGTCCAGTTTGGGTACTTGGTCTCTAAAAGGTTCACCATCACTGCAATAGAGGGTATAATTTAATGGCATGCGTTACTCCATTAAATGGGCAATACTGGAGTCCCTGGGCCAGTTTCTTTGCTCTGGACCCTTCTATGGGCTGTACAGAAATTACAGTTATTTCTTAACCCTTCTATAGGCTGGTGCCAAATATGGAGCCTCTGCAGCTCCGTATTTGGCACCAGCCAAAACCTGGTAGCTTGCTTTTGAATATTAGCAACACCTTACTATGAAGCAGTTAAAAGGTTAAATTCAGTGTTCTCAAGCTAAATTTTACCTTTTTACTGTTCCATAATTATTTGCTAGTGAAAATTGTTGGCCAACTGCCAGGTTTTTGTTCACTTTATCACCATGAATTTGCACAGTGCAGGAGACAGTGGCAGTGGGGACTGGCTTGAGGCCAGTGCAAGCACACATGTTCTACCCCTGGCTGTAGGTCACAAGTGATTTGTATTATACTGGTTATTTCTTAACAATAATCCTTTCGTATATATTCCAAAGGTAGTCCAGCACACCAGTAGTAGGAGTGTATCTTTTTAGAATGCACATGTGGGTTATTCAAAAATATATGTAAAAAAATTACCCACATGTAGAAGGCATTTTTTAAACCCAGGCCTTTCCCTAAAAAGAGTAATTTTTCTATGTGAAATCAGCTTTAGTCCCAAGCAAAGATCTCACATACAAATTGCATTCAATTTGAGTTGGGTCACTGTATGCATAAATGTGGCCAATTGTTCTGTAAAATCAAAACTGGGCGTACCAGGTTTTGTTATTTGTGAGATGTAAAACTGCACTAGCATGCCTGCTGGTTTGCTGACTATGAATACATCTTTACATTCTGTGAAGAACATGTAAGAGGATCCTCACTAGATTTGGACTTTTTTCAAAATGCATTTTGAGCAAAAGTGAGGCATCTCTTTATCAAGACTTGCCAGTGCTCTAGTGTATTTTGATACTTAAATACGAGTAGAGTAGAGCTGCAGTTTCTTGGCATGTGTAGTCTTTCCTGTTTTACCCATGAGCAATTAAAAAAAAATAGATGTACTGGGAAATGTTTCTCAAAAGAATTGCATGGAATTTTTCTAATACTTTTTGAAAGTTTGGTGATGTTCTAATCGGTTGCCTTTTTGTACACAAAGAGAATACTTCTTAAAATTGGAAAATGGATGAAGTGGATATCTTATCTTTTCTTCCTTCGAGGATTGGGGTGGGAACCATATCATTTAAAACCAACATTAGTTTTGTTAGCTTTATCAGCATAGATGCTCGTTTCCAGAAAATACACTTTAACTGCTTACTCATTGTGCAACCAGTAACACTTCAGTGTGGCTGTTAATTACCTTGCTCTTTGTGATACTCAACTGGTAAAGCCATTGTACGGAGAAGAATCCTCCAGATCTAATTTAGATATATTTTCATGTTGGGTTTCTGTGTTTTCTGGCAGTTTTCCAGTAAACAATGAAAGTTCTGTTGCTGAAAGAACCTAAAGAAAGTGAAAATGGACAAGACCCCTATGTAAAAGTAAGTAACCTAGGAAGGTTTGAAAAACTGAGGTTTCTGTATTGGAATTGTTCTGCTTGACTCTAAACTGTAGCTCTGCATTTTGGGTTAACAGGATTGTATGCAACATTAGGCTAAATGGAAATGTACAGCTGTGACATTGCTCCATTAGCAGTTTTTCAGGCACTGGCAGAACTAGCACAAACAAATCTAAGCATCTACCAGCTTACTCAAGTAGAGTCAAAGTAGTGGATCAAATTATTTTAAAAGGTATTTCTTGGTGTGCAAGTTTTAAAACGCTGTTTTGTCTTTTATGTACTTTTACAATAACTTAAGATAAGCTAAAGTGGCCTTTCTAAGAATGTGCACACTTTCTAAAATAGGGCAGGAGTTGGCAGGAAGTAGGATGTTCTTGGTAGCTGATCTTTTATAATAAGATCAGCTACCTAAGGAAGTTCTTGAAGGTTGCTCTTTGAGGAACTGGAGGAAGAAAACTATAAGTACAATCCTATGCATGTAGAAGTTCTACAACTCCCAACATTCTCCAGCCAGGGTTCTGTCTAAACATGTGTAAGATTGCACCCAAAGATGGCTTTTAGCTAAGCAGACTTTTGCTACTTCAGGTAAATTAAATCCATTGTAGATGTCTGTTTTAATGATTGTATGTTTTTATTTTGGATTTATTGTGTTTCATCTCATATGTCCCCTGCTTTCAGTTATTTTGGTTATAAAGATATCTTTTAAAAATAATAAGAAGAAAACAATTTTTCCATTTATTATTATGTTATTTGCATACATTAAAATACCACTTCTAGTTCTGAGCTAGAAGGTGTGCAACCAAATTCTGGTTTGTATTCACGTCACACACTATGTTGTGTGTGTGATTTGCTTAAGAAATCATGCAACTTTGCAAAAAACTGAACAAAATCTACATTATTCTGAAGGTGAGGGTGAGGTCATGATTTCCCAAATATTGTATTGTACTGTATAATGCAGGACTTTTTTTTGTAAAAAAATTTATTAAGGTTTTAAAACTAATACTACAAACATCAGTCATCGCACACCGGATTTACTGGGTCAACCCCCTACTACATATTTTTTAACATTCTATGATCATACTAAAATCCATTTATAATAACTTGAAAACATCTTTAGATCAAAACCAAGTCCCGTTTGTCCAGCCAAAAAAAAAAAAAAAAGGAATTCCAGATTTGATAGAAGTCACTATCTTCCTCTTCTTCATCAGTGAACTCAGTCTCATCATTTCTTACAAAATCCTGTTTCTCTTGACCAATGTCAAAGGGAAGCATCTCCAAGTTAAATAAGATTGCAATATCTTCTTTCTTCTTCAGTGGTAAGTTCGAGCTAAACATTTCTGGACAATTCAAGATCTTTTCAATTTTCTAATAATAAATAACTTCCTCACTACCACAGTTACAAGTAACATCAAAAATATCCATTTAACATCTCTACAATTATCTTAACTACTCTACTTGGTGGTAACTAATACTTATAATATCTTTTAAAACAATTTTCTTTAAATTACTAGTATTTCATCTAACTTAAACACCATTTAATCAAATATGGTTAACTCCATATAAAAGCCTAGCTGTTTACAGTCTTTAACATATATCACCAACAGCAATAGCTTAACCTTCCCATATCAAATAAAGACTTGCCAACCCATTTAAATCATTGCTTTTTAAAATAATAAGTTCTCTTATTTTGGGTTACAGATACAGTCAGAAATATCCATTTAACAATAATACCTTTTAGACAGAATTTCATTAAGCTAAGTTACTAATGTTTCACTAGCAATAATAGCTTAGCCTTCCTACGTCACATGTGAGCATACCAACCTATATGAATCACCCCTTTTTGGAATAAAAAGAAAGTTCCCTTATCTTCCCTTTGCACCTCTGCCATATTTATTTTTTCTTTTTCTTTACCCCTCTACCAGAACTTTCTGGGTTTTTTTTCATTAAAACATCGTAATACCTGTAATGGAGTCTTCAACTGCAGCCACATAAACAAAACCTCTCTTAGCTAATTTCTCCTTCTCTAACATAACACGCAGATCCCATGAAAGCTTGCTTATTAAATTCACTGATTGTGTTAAACCATGTCCAATTCTTCCTTTCTTGTTTACATTAAGATGCTGTGGTGTCTGCAATAAATCATGTGTCTTGAGTTGTAACCAAGCTATCTTCTCCTTCTCCAGCATAACACACAGATCCCATGAGGGCTTACTTATTGAGTTCACTAGTTGTGTTAATTTTCCCATTACACTTGTTGTCTTTCCAGTTTCAGATTCTCCTTCTGCTTGCTGGATATTTTGCATATTCTGTTCAGGTACAAATCGTTTGTCCAAAGCCTGACTAATTTATCAAAGCCACTTTTTTGTTCAATGAAAAAAGCATCAAGTCGCTCTAAAACAATCTTCTGTTTTATTATTATCGCCTGCTGAGATAGTTGCACAGCTGTTAAAGAATTCTGTATTGCCAAGAGTGTCTTCTGTATTTCTTCCATAGTAGCAGTAATTACCAAGGTTTGGCAGGTGTCCAGAGGTCCCAGGAACAAAGAAAAAGATGGCTGTTAACTCTTGGCAGTAGTCCAACATAGACGAATACAAGAAGAATGCTTCTATCATTCAATTCCACAGTAAATTATTTATTTTGATTTTTCACCCTTGGAGAGATTAAGGAAGATAAATCTTTTCCTTACTTAAAAAGAGCTCTGTCTCTCTCTTCTTATGTAATTCACCGCTTTTCAACTCCGTGGTGGAAGAAGATTCCTTTCCTCCTCCATCCAAAGGGCTTTTTCTTTTTCCTTTGTATCAATTAGCAAGGAATGCAGCTTATTCCACCGGTATCATTACAAAAAAAGGAAACAAAAATAATTCCCAATAAATCCGATGTGCTTATATTAATAAATAATAAATAAATAAATAAATAAAATATTAGCTAAAACTGAACTAAAAAAAAAAAAAGATATGTCGAGAGCTTGTAGAGGGCTTCCTCCCTCTTGTGCTACCCGGCTGAGAAAAGTTTGATTTTCTCCCAGTGAATGTGGAATTGCCATTCCACATCTTCTAGGAGATTCACCAAGCAATCTATCTTAGCCCCGACGGGGCTTAGATTGAGCCCCCATGGCCCACCACCAGGCAGTTACCAGCGTGATAACGGAGGTTTGTTAATCACATCTATTGCTCCGACGCCATACCGGAAGTCAATGCAGGACTTTTTTTGTGGATGCAACAACTTTTCTGTACTCTTACCCTCCTCGGAAACTGCTTGATTATTTGCATAGCTGTTGTCTTTCCACACTTGTGATAATATTATGCACAAAAGTATGTCCATATGTTCTTGGCTGTGAGTTTCCAAGTCTGACTTGTTTCAAAGCATGTTGTTACTGCTAAATATTAGCGCAATCCTATGAGTATTCACTTAGGAGTAAATCTTACTCTTTTCCTGGAACTTACTCCTAGGTACATGTAAAAACTTGTCTTGCTACTTTAAGAAACCCTAAAAGTACTTCTCAGTGTCAATACTTATTGTTCATCACAAAATTGTGTGTCCTTTCATTCACAGGAACTGGGTTTACATGGGCTTGAAGCAACTTTGATACCAGTTTTAGCATATGAATTTATTTCTCTTCAAACTTTCTTTGAAAAGGTAAGTTTTCCATTCTCTTTCTGAGAATAGTGTGTCCTACAAAAATTATGCATCTGATTTTTGTTCATTCTTTATTCCATTGTTCAGTCAGGTTCCTTGATTGCCATTCCACAAAGGAGGTTAGGCAGCCTTTTGGGACCTTTAGGGACAACTTGTTGTGGGAGGTGAAATGTTGGGAGTGCCCCCTTCTCCCAGTTGTTACTTTTCTTGCTGCCCTGGCTTTCTATGAAAATGTAATAAATCAAATGAAATGTAAATTATGATTGAGAAAGTTGGTAAGAAATGATGTTGTTGGCCATGACATGAACACAGCCACGGTCTAGCAGCCATAAGATTGCATGGAAAGCCTTTGATTTTCTAAATGCTCTAGAAAAGTGTGTTAGTATAGTCTGTCTACTTGTGCATATGTTACCATCTCCCACAGCTCAGAGCTAAAGCTACAATGATGTAGAAAAATGCCAGTGAGAAAATTTTCCAGCTCTGGCTTGGCTTATGCCCACCACTAGGATCATGAGCCATACTTGATCTCTGGTATACCTCCCTTGAGCCACTGTAAGAACAGTGCTGTTTCTGCAGGTATACTAGTGTTATTTAAATTTTTATGTAGAGTATATTATAAATGGTACTCTGGGGGGATAGTTGAATAATACTTCTGAAATACATAAAGCACTCTATCTCTGTATAGTGCCTGTGTGTGTGTGTGTGTGTGTGTGTGTGTGAGAGAGAGAGAGAGCGCGAGCGAGCGAGCGAGCGAGCGAGAGAGAGCAATATACTTCTTAATTGGGTTTAAGGTTGTAAATTCTTGCTGTTGGCTTAGATTAAATAGTCTTTTTAATTTTTCACATAAATATGTAAACTATGTAATTGAATTATGTATAAATAGGATTTTAAAGCCTGACATATCTTGATAGATAGGACACTGACAGAGTTCTGGATGCACAAGCGGTTTCATTTGTTGGCTGTCTGGTACTGTGGTACCTGAATGTCTGTGATTGTAAAACAGGGGTGTCAAAAGCAAATCCTGCCTGGCTATGATCTCAGGACAGCCCCAAAAGGACATGTTCTTGCCCCCAATGGCTGATCATTTGGTGGTTTCCCACCTTTTGTGCTGTTCCCACCGCCCCATTTTGAAAGACTGAACTGCTTCCCCTCAGGCCTAATTAGTGGCAGTAAGAACTTTAAGATAAAATATGTGAGTATTTTGGACTTCATCCCTATTGCCTTTAGCCCATTCCCATTGCTGGAACACAATCCCCAAGATTTTCTTTGAAATTAACTTGCGCCTTATGCAGGAAGTGATTCAATACCCCTGGTGTCATTTTCCTTTCCAAAGGTTAAAACCGTTTTGTGATTGGAACTGATTTTCTGGATCATGACAATTTGGTGGGCATTCCTTCAGAGGGTCACCGTAAGTCAGAGACAGTTTAATGACATGTAACAACAGGAAGTTTAGTGTTATGTCTGAGCCATAAATGGTAGTTAATTTTAGCTTTGTTTGCTGAAACTAGACCACTTAATAACCATGGTTTGAAGGTGTTTCCCTTAAACAAAACATAGTTATGATTAGCCAAGCGTGTCAGATTCAGGCAAAAGGGTACATTGCACACACAGAGAAAAGGTTTAATGTGAGACTCTCCTAGGCTCATTCCTGTCATAACACAGCCATTTAATTTGTTCAGAGAAAGTTAACAGTTGCTATAAAATTCTGTAAAGTCACTCCGTTCCATTAGTTGTATGGAATTAAATCAGGCAAGTATTTTCAACACGGTAGCATATTCACAGTTTAAGATTCTTCAGGCTACTTTACTTGAAGATACAGGATTCTCTCCTCATGAAAGGATATAGTACATGTAGGCATATAGACCAGGGGTGGGCGACTTGTGGCCCTCAGATGTTTTTTGTTTACAACTTCCATTAGCATAAACAGTGGTGGTGGCTGATGGATGTTGTAGGCTAGGACATCTGAAGGGTCATCTGAAGGGTCACAAGTTGCCCACCACAGAATCTTCAGATGGCAGTTCCTAGAGAATGAGAAATTATTTTATTTCAATTTATGTGCTGTTACATTAGCCCACACTTAGGCTCCCTGAGTGGCTTACAACTAATTAAAATAACATAACACTTTAAAATCTATAAAAATAGAACAATAACACACACACACACATAATCCAACAGAATCATATAAAATCATTATATAAAAACTTTTTAAATCAACAATTTAAAATAACATAAACCTATAAGCCAGGAATAGGATCAGGTTAATTTCAAAATTACCACTAAAATCAACTATTAAAATAGCCAGAGAAAAGATTTTGCCTGGTGCCAAAATGATAGCAATGATGGTGCCAGTTGCAGCTCTCTGGGGAGCGTATTCCAGAGATGAGGCATGACCACTGAGAAGACCCTTCTTCAGGCTACCATTCCCCTCATCTCCCTGAAAAAGACATTTTGTTTTGGTCTTCATGGATGGGTAGGGACATATCAGAGAAGACAGTCCTTCAGATACCCATGACCCAAGTCATTTAAGGTTTAATATGTGAATGCAAGCACTTTAAATTGGGCCCAGACTTCCACTGATAGCCACTGTACATGATATAAAATAGGCGTAATATGGGCCCGCAAACTAGTGCTTGTTAGAGGTTGTGCAGCCCTATTTTGAACCAGTTGGAGTGTCTGGACTGCCCAAAGGCAGTCCCACATAGAGCACATTGCAATAATCCAGGTGGGATGTTACCAGTGTGTGCATGACTGTGACTAAGCTTTGTCTGTCAAGATATGGCCATAGTTGATAAATTGCACACCAACATCATTTGGAACTCAAGTGCAAGTTTTGGATTCAGGAGCATGTCCAAGGTGAAAACTCTGTCCTTTGAGAGACGTATGACTCCATCCAGGACAGGGTATAGGCCATTCAACTCATCCGACTGACCACTCATCAACAGTACTTCTGCTTCCTTAGTGATGAAAGTGTTCAGAGAGAGGAAAAATCCGAAGAAGAGTAGAAGGGAGGAAGGGAGGAGGAGTGCACAGTGGTGATAGATGTGTGTGCAGGTGGAGAGAAAGGCATCTTTCCTGATTTGTTTCCTCTCTTCCATCATGGTTGGTGCTGGCAGTGGGAAGAGATCCAGAGGAGGGCAATAAGGAGATAGAGGAGGGAAGGGGAGTGGTGGTAGATATGCGAGTGGGCAAAGGTGCTTGAAGAGAAAGAAAAAGTCTTACCTGTAGAAGCAGCAATGGAAGAGTGCAACAAAGAAGTTGTAGAAAGAAGTGGCCTTCATATTCAGAGAAAAAGAAGAAATATGAAGAAAGGAGGAGAAGTGGGAGAAGGAAAGCAGGAGGAGGGGGACAAGAAAAGAGACAATCTTGGCAAGCACGGTGGTGAGGATGAGAAAGCAGAATTCTAGCAAGGCAAGGCAGTCCCCAAAATGGATGGATGGATGGATGGATGGATGGATGGATAGATAGATAGAGCAATCGTGTCCCCAAACCTGAACAATTATGGATAATGTGCCTGTAAATCTGAAACGGTTGCCTATCCCCAGCCATTACAACATATTTCTAGATTCTGGATTTCTGTCACACAGCTGATTTGTTACTGACCAAGTCAGCTGTGAGTCATATTAGCAAGAGGCCAGCATTACACTGTGAACTAACTGGATGTTGCTGAACTCTAATCTATATAAGACAAAAACAGCAAGACATCAAATTATTGTATTACATGCATTAAGATTTTGATGAAAATACCATTGAGGGCATCTGGAGCTCTTGCTTTAAAAGCAGTAGATCAAAGACTTCTTTGTTGTGTTTGGTTTTTAATAAATTATGTTTATTTTTTCCCAATTTTCCTTAGCTTTTTCATCCTGAACAATATCAGGGGCTAATTTTTACTAGTCCAAGAGCTGTGCAAGCCATCAGGCTATGCCTGCAGGATAATTGTAAAGGAGAAGGTAAGTGGGAATTTAGACAATATAGAAAATAAAATGGAAGGAGCACTACTGGGGCCCCTAGAAAATGTCTAGATTCTCCTCCTCCTTCCCTAACTAGGCACAACCCATGTACCCTGAGTTGATTTATTACATGGCTCCTTTGATGTAAAAAAACCCCCTAAAAATTCAGGTTCCAAAATGAGCCATTGATTCTATGCATAGATAAAGGACTGTTTGAATTCTAGATAAATGTTTAGAAACAACTTATTGTTTATCAACCTAGGGAGTTTAGGTAGTCATTGGCCTGTTATGCACTTCTTAGTAAGGCAGAGTTTTACAACAAAGAGTTCTGGTTTTCAGTGGACAATTGAGCATGCTGCTCAGTGATTTTTATGCCTAGCAGGAGCAGTTAAGGCCAATGACTCCTGTCTATGGTTTGCTTTGCATGGCATCCAAACCAAGAACTCCAGCTTGGATTTTTCTTGGCTTAAAACTCTGGCATGTTAGGAAAGTCACAATCCAGCATTCTTTATTTGGAGGTCACAGATGGAGAGATCATGGCTTGTTTAGCCACTCCTACTGGTAAGAATAATAAAAAAAAAAATCTTTTTTTTTTTACAAAAATCTAGCTCACCAAAATGTTCAATTATTGCCATTAATTCAGATACATGTGAATACTTGTTTGCAGTTTTGCAAATTAAAAGTGAATTGTTGTAATCTATAAATATGTATAAAGAAAAATGGCTTGGACTATGCATGCAATTAAGAGCAAGCCCTGTTGAACTCCGTGGGGTTTGCTTCTGAGGTGTTAAATATTTCAAGCATGTTAGACTGCTCTTTGTATAGTAATATAATTTTGTTTGCTTTTCATAGTCACTGACCTTTATACTTTAGTAGTAGTAAATACTTCGTTGAGATCATGCATTTTCAAATAAATGGTTTGTTAGGCACATGTGCAAAGAAGCATTTTAGTATTTGTACTTTATTGGCAATGCATAAATGTAATATAATGTTTTGCAGTTTGGAAAAAATCTCTGAGAGAAAAATGGAATACCAAATCAGTTTATGTGGTAGGAAAAGCTACAGCTGGACTAGGTAAGACACATTTAGAAAAGAACTCTTATAACAATGTTATGAAAATAATTTGACCTATAGCTTCTATGGGCCCTACCTATAGCATAGCCAGTGGAAAAGAGTAATGGAAGCTGTAGGTTGAAACATCTGGAGAGCCACAAATAAATACATCTTCTGTTCCTTAATATTTACTCCTTAATGCACCATTACAGTTAATATCTTCAGCCAATTTAAAGAACAAGTTGCATGCCTGAGATGACTTTAAGTTGAATTTGAAAGTTGGATCATGTAGATAAAAAGCATATAAAAACACTTAAGAAACACGTCCATATACACTAAAACTTCTTAAACACAATGCAGCATTTTAATAATGATAATAATACAGTAATAATAAAGGAACCACAGGTACTGAAGAAAAAGAGAGAATCTGCTTGTTGAACAACTAAAGCTTAATGCTTTCCTAATGACTGATGGCATCTCTCCTTTCTCTGATCACATTATTCTTTCCACTTTAGTTTCAGTTGAGATTGTTTTTCTTTTCTTTAGTGCATCACCTGCATTTGCATTGGATGTACATTTTGGAGGCATGGTTATGAACTAAATACAGTACAAATCAGAGAAGGCAATACTGACTCCAGATGTACAATCTGACTTAGATGTACAATCCAAGAGACATTGTACAAAAGGAAAATCTATTTGGAGGTGGGGGAAAATTAGCCATGAAAGTTCTTTCTGCCAGGGAAGAGCGATAAGCTCCCTGCAGCTGTTCTTTCCCTGGTTCACATGTGGGGTTACTTAGTCTCTCTCTTGGTTTGGCATTCTTCCTGGGAAGCATTGGGAGCCTTCCAGTGTCCCTTGGCAATCTCACCCACAGATGTCTCAAATTACAAAGAGAATATTGCCAGGTTTTGGGGGGCAGCAAAACTGCCAGTTGAAGTAGCAGCAAATTTCGCTATTGATGTTGCTGTTTTAAAAGGAAAAGTTGGACCACCTCATATTTAAAGATGAGCTCTCTCAAAGGTCATTAGAATGAATTCAACCCTGAAAGTCACAGAATATCTGTTCTCTCATGTTCATGGGGCTTAATGGTCCACACCTAGCCTTAGTTTAAACAATATTTGACAGCTTATCTCTTCTCTTAAGATTTAGTCTCCCATATCTGTCTCTACCTTCCTTCTGTATCCCTTTCTCTTCCAAAATGACCTTTCTTTCATGGTTTTAGATTGTAAGTCTGTAACCTTGGTCCTTTAAGGTTCTTTATTGTGTTGAGTTCCTTTGCAAATAAGGAGGAAGAGGAGGAGAAACAGAAAGGTGCAATCCCTGTGTTTTGATGGGGAATGTCCATGATCATGGTTAGCACCAATAAACAAAGAAAAACTGCAAGAGACAAAAGGTGCTGAGTTTTTCTTGTTCAATTTGATCCTGCCATATTTTCATTCATAGTGCAGCATTTCAGCTGCTATTAATAAAAATGGTATTCTGTCTCTTTAGTGCAGTCTGCCAGCTACAAGAATCTGTGGTTCAAAGACCAATGCTTTTTTTCCTGTATCTTGTCTTCTACATGACTGATCAAATCATTGGATGGCACATTTGGATGTTTGTAGCTCCATAAAAACAAAATTAAACAGTGATTTAAGATAATATTATGGGCAGAGCAATCCGTTGCCCACTTAGGAACTAGTGAGCCATAGGATTGTTCAGGTTTCCAGGGCCAAGATCAGAAAATGCTTCAGGGGGCAGTAAAGGCAGAAGACCAGCAAAAGCAAGATAGGACATATCTGGCGGTACCACATACTCCTTTCTTCCTCTTTCAAAGGACCATTGTCAGACAGTCAAAATTGCCTATCTAGCTTCTTCTCAAAGTGGGAGACATGAATGCCACTTTTACCCCAGTGCTTTTTCCCACTCTGGACAGAATGTCCATAAGGGTAAATTTGGAGAGATAAAAGTATCCCCATGGGATTGCAGCCTAAGTATTTTAGAAGATGCATCTCCTTTGAAGCTCAGCAAAATTTTCATCTTAAGTTATATTTTTCTCATTTTCTTTTAGTGGCTGAAATAGGCCTGATACCACAAGGAGAAAACTGTGGAAATGCTGAAAAACTCGCTGGATACATTTGCTCCCGTAAGTGGATACACTTTAGTTTTTGCTTTTTTTATCTTCAGCAGCACACTTAAAAAATCAACAGCCAAACATTCATTTTATGATGTGTATGTATAATGCATTTTTGTATGCGTTCTGGATGAAGATAAGTCCACAAACTTGGCATTAAATGGCACAGTGCCTTTTATAACTCTGAAGTGACTGGCTATGGAATGCTTATAAATAGTAATAACAGAGCTGTACTGGCATTTTATGAGGTTTATTTTTCACAATGCAAGATGACATTTTGCAGGGAGGGCATTTTTTTCAAAAGAGCATTGCCTCCCTAGGGGGAAGAACCACTTTCCTCTTGACAAAGCACATGCAAAAAGCAGGACAGAGTCACGCTGGATATTGTGGCTCAAATTTGGCTACTTCATGTTGAAGCAGAATCTTCCCTGTGTTTTGCCATAAGAGGTATGCACTTGTCCTCCATCTTGGGCTACTTTAAAGGAAGCAGTTTGCAACAACCTGTGAAAGAATGTCAAAATATTACCTTTCCCCTCTCTAGCAATGTGCTGAGGTGAAGGAGAAGTAATAACTTCTGCTGCATTTAGTGTCTGCAGTGTTAGGAAATATGTGGAGGGAAGAGCTTGCTCAAGGGTTTTTCCTAAGACTTGTAGCCCCAGACTCTTCCTTAAACTGCCTGACTAACACAGGTAGGTGGGAAGGGCCCATGCATGTAAAAGAAGTTGGTAAAGGACCTCATTGAACATGCAGAAGTCTATGAACATACATTATTTTTTTGTGTTTATGGGGTTTCTTTTTTCAGTTAGTCACAAAAACTCTGCATATGCATTCATGCACGACTTAGCAAACACTTCCAGCGTGAAATATCTAGGTATTTCCAGTTCTTTCAGTTTTTGTTGTTCCTGTTAGTTTCTGCATAAATGGGCATCCCCGGTATCTGTTTGCCATAAGTGCCATGACAAAGAAATCAGAAAACTCCTTCCATGGTTGATGCAAAATACATCTGATATTGGACCACTCACACTTCAGCCCCATTGAAACCAGTGGGACTAAGACATGACTAACTTACTCTGGAACTGACCCAGGTGCATTTGTTGTTCAAGTTTCTTTGTCTTTGGTGCTGCCTTTGGCTGCGGTGCTTGGAGAAATACCTCCCTGACTCCCTACTTAAATAGATAGCATGGGTCTCCTTCTCAAGATAAATCCTATGGTCTTTTAGACTTTATTGCATTTGCGTAGTTAGTTAGATAGAGAAAGAAAATAATTCCACAACAAGCACTTGTTATGTAGTTTAGAGATATCAAGTTGCTTTTCTTTCTTTCTTTGTAAACACACGTCTAAAAGGATTAGTATTGCTTTTCAGATACCACATTGGCATTTCAATTAGCAGACACAAACCTGGTAGGATTGATACTAACATATTTTGCTTTTATCTCACAGAATACAGCTCTGCATTCTGTCTCAAGTTATTTGTTGCTTCCTATAATTTATTATCTATCCAGCTCCCAACAAAACTTCAGTTTGCAATTAGACTATTCTGATAAATCTGTGCAGACTCCTAACAAGGTCTTTTGGTTTGATTTTGCTTGATTTTCTTCTCTTAGATGAAGAGAGGGGCTTAAGGTTAAAATGTAAGAATGTGCTCTTGCATTTAAAATGTAGGAATGTGTTCGTAGCATTTAAAAATTGACATTGCAAGCCACGTTCTATTCTTCCTCCTACCTAAAAAGTATAGCATTAACATAGACAGAGAATTTTTATGTCTTATCTTTCCCTTGAATGCCAGTACCTCAATTCTATAAGCAATCTTTCAAAGCATTCTTATTTTGAGTATTTTAAGTTTATTCATGGTATCCATTTGGTTTATCATAAAATTATTTTCTATAGATTTTAATTATTTTTTATTCTGATTTCAATGAATAAAAAAACCAAATGCAAATAAAACAGTATGTGTGTGTTAGCATGTGATTTGCATATATCCACTGCAATAGATACATATGTAACATATACCCCTATATATTTTATATAACTGGATGTTTTAATGCATTTTTAAAGCTATCTAAGTCATCATTAGATGTTGATGATTATTTTTATAAATTAATTATATTTTAGAAGGAATGAACATATTTTAAAATGTGTATGGAATTTTGTGCTGGTTTACTGTATTTGTACTGCCTTTTATTGTATTTTATAAATTGTGTCTAAGTGCCCAGAGAACTTCAGCTTTTGAGTGTTAGGCATCATGATGAAGATGATGATGATACAAGGGGAAGTGTTCTCCTTGAGGAAGGGCCTCCCAAATGTGATTTTCTTCCTAGAATAACAGATAAGTGGAGTGGGAGACATACCACTTTAAAAATGGGAATGTGGGTGGATTTGATCCAGTTTAAGAAGGCTCTTTCTAATGGTGGAAATGGATACCTGCAATAGACAAAGACAATGAGGTGCCAAGGTGATACTGGAACTCCTTTTCAAAGCATCCTGTCCCTTCTTGTAACTGCTTTGACCTTTCCTTTTGTTTAGAATGTCACTCAGCAAATTTATTCAGCTGAAATGATTCTTTAAATAGCTAAACAAGTATGTGTCTGAAGTCTGAGGAATACCAAGTGACTGAAGGGGAAGGGGAACACTTATTAAGATGATTGGAAGCATTGTCTTGGTTGTTCTCTGTTGAATAGCAAAAGAAATAGAGCTCAGCAAGGCAATATATCTTTTGCCAGATCTTTTTAGCTAAAAGATCTATGCCTTGGCAATGAGATCTTTTTTAATTTACATGCTAAAGAGCATCTGCTATCTGAAACTCCTGTGTGCAGTAACTTTAAGAATATAAGAAATACATGTCACACTTTTCACTATGTGTTCAGAGTGTGATCATGTTAAAGTATCATTCTGTGGACCTTGTGCTTAAAATGTTATAGTGAAATAAATCTATTTGTTTTGTAAATAGGGGAGTCGCCCAATTCATTGCCTTTGCTGTTTCCTTGTGGTACTCTCAAAAGGGAAATACTTCCAGCAGTCCTTGGAGAAAAAGGTTTGATCTGAAGTATTTAAACTCCTTTTTGAATTTCAGTCTTTCAGACTGAGAACAGAGCAAGTAAGATGGTGCCCATTAACTGCTGACTCATATTTCACACATTTGCGGGCTCTGTAAAAACGGAGCAACTTACTTCCTCTCTCCCTCTGCATTTCTTTTTCTGTGGGATGAGCACATTGACCAGCATCTACCAGACTTAAGTCTTGTTCACATGTTTCACTATAGCTTAAGGATTTTTTAAAATCAATTTCTTACTTGTTATTTTACCAGGTAGCATAAGAAATCAAAGGATCTCTTCTAAGTAAATCTGACTCTGGATCCAGCCCTGGTCTATAATTCACAAATCATGCATGGCCTGGAACTGAAGAAAAACTGCCTGCCTGTACATCCTCCCCATGAATTCACACATCTGTTATAAATGAACTATTTCCCACTTACGCAATATTTGGTTCATAACTCCCAAATGCTGTAGATATCTGCATCATAACCAGCGACTTTATGCCATCAGTTATAAGGTCTGAAATTCTTCCCATTTTATTGGTTTTTACAGAAGGGTAAAATAATCTAGGCTGTTTGTCTGTGCCCACCTTGCTCATTGGACTCAGTGGGGCCTACCAGTGAAGAAACATGCACTGGGTTGTATTGTAAAATTGTTTAAAGCTAGTTATGCTCAGTTATTTCAATCTCTTGAAAACTCTGCAAGCTCCTACTGTGTCACATGATATTTTTCCTCAGTTGCCATGATTTGTTTCCTGACATGTCTTCGCATGATTTATGAAATGACGACAACATGACATCAACCATTCAGAAATTCTGTACTATCTAAAATACCATAAACTGTTACAAAATAATTTTTATAAGAACTTTGTTATCAGGAACAGAGATCCTGGCTCTTTGGATCTGAGGCAGAATCTGCTTAGCTAGTTCCATATAAGCTTTTATATGAGTGTGCAGTATACTATTAGTATCAGTATTATTACAGTAGGATCCCCCATATCCACGGGAGATAGTTTCTAAGTCCCCCAGTGGGTGCTTAAAACTGCAGCAAACACTGTATATGCTTTACATACTTAAGATAAACTTTAATTTATAAATTAGACACAATGAGATATTAACAAGATTAACTAATAAAATAGAGCAGTGGTAATAATAAAAGTTGTGTGAATGTGGTTTCTTTCTCTCAAATATTTATTGCATTGTAATCACCCTCAACCAAGGTGGCTACTAAGGGACCAACAGCTGGGTAGCCGATACAGTGTGGATACACAGACAAAGGGATGATTAACGTCTCCGGCAGGACCACACTGGATTGTATCATGTCACTCAGAATGGTGTACAATTTAAATAACAAATGTTTACTGTATTAATGGAGCCTCTGGCTATGGGGCAGCATACAAATGTGATAGATAGAGATATTCTATGTCATCTTTTTTTGGACTGCAGTCAAGTGCAGTTAAGTAAAAATGTGGGAACTGAAACAGTGGATACAGGGCTTTTACTGTATTATTATTAATTTCATTTCTATACTGCTCATAGCCAAACTTCTCTGGGCCATTTACAACAAAGTATAAAACAATAAAATATAATAGATAAAAACATTAACAAAAATTAAAATTAATTTAAATAGCATAAAACATTAAAAATCAATAGGAAGACCTGGCCAAGAACAAAAGAAAGGCACCTGGCTAATCAGGGAGGTCTTTAAAGGCTCCATAAGTTATCCCAGAGATGGGGGTCCACCACAGAAAAGGCCCTCCCCCCAGTTGCCACCCTGCAAGCCTCTCAAGGGTTTGGCACCTGAAGGAAGGCCACTGAGGCTGAACATAGGGTCTGGGTAGATTGGGGTTGGGAGAGGCACTCTGAAAGGTATTGCATTCCCAAGCCAGTTTAAGACCAGCACATTAAACTGGGACCAGAAGCATATTCCAGGCACCACCTTCTGAAGACAACCCTCCAAGTAGGAGCAGAACCAGTGCAATGCAGTGACTCCCGCTCCCATCTCAGCCAGCTGCTGGGGGAAAATACCATGGTTGATGGCATTAAAAGCCTCTGAGAGGTCCAGCAGTAGCAACAGGGTCACACTACCACTCTTATTTCCAAACATAGGTTATCATACAAGGTGACAAAGGCTGTTTCTGTGCCAAAACCAGGCTTGAACCCCAAATGAAATGGATCCAGATAATCCAGTTCTTCACTGGAGTTGATTGACAGCCACTCTCTCTAGAACCTTGCTCAGAAAAGGAACATTGCTACCAGCCTGTAGTTGTTCAAATTTTCTGGGTCAAGGGAGGGTTTCTTGAGAAGTGGTCTTGCCCCCACCTCGTTAAGCCAGCATGGGGCCACTCCAGTCACCAAGAGGGGTTGATGACCTCCCTGGCCCAGCCTGACCAAACCCTAGCCCCTTTATAAGCCAGGATGGGCACAGATCCAGGACAGAGGTGGTTGCATGCACCTGTCCATGCACCTTTTCCATATCCTTGAGCAGTATGGCTGAAACTTACTCCATAAAACTGGACCAGACTGTGCTCTGAATAGCACCACCAGTTACACTGCTGTAACTCTGGAGTCCATGTCCCTGTGGCTGCAACAGATTTTTCCTAGAAGTGCCCAGCAAGTAGGTTACAGTGGGCCTGAGATGGTTCCAGAGTGTCCCTGGGGACAGAGTGTAATAAGCCCTGAACAACCTTGAAAAGCTCCACTGGGTGGCACAGAGAGGATTGGATAGAGGCAGTGAGATAGCACTTTTTTGCGACCCTCACAATATACCCAATTGCAGACCCCTGCTGGGTTTCTATTGGATTAACTGGGTGTTCATCTCCATCTGCACTCCAGCCATCTCTGGGATTGTTTCATTGCTCTCAGCTCCAGGGTATACCAGTTTATTCTTAGTTTAAAAGTACCCAGGTACACATTTTGATATAAACACAACTGATAAAAACCCTGCTTACACGCCACTGCTTTTATTGCAGGTATTGCACTGGAAGGCCTTACTGTTTATCAAACAACTCAACATCCTAATCTTCAAGAATCCTTGAGGAATTATTTCTCACAACAGGTAGTTTCTTTTTTGAACGGTTAAGTTGCAGCTTGAGAAAGTTTATAACGTTTTCTTAGCTGTCTGCTTAGTCAGTGTTACTGTGCAGGAGTTAGTCAATAATAAACACATTTCTGCCAGGCACCGGGGGAGAATCCCTGTGGCTGTGCTTTGAGTCATTTTGGATGTAATGCATTTGCTCGACAAAACGGGACTGGTTTATTTATTATTTATTTCCATATATTTCAGTACCTATTAAACGTGATAGTGCTTCAGCAGTGATTTTATATGACAAAATTATTGCAGTTTAATAGACAAATGCTGATATCAGCATGTATCTTTTTCCTCCTTCAGTGGTTCTCTTTTTTCACCTAAGCAAAAGCTATTCCAGAGGAATTCACAGAAAGCACTGAAGAAGTATGTAAACCTAGTAACCTTACTTTCCAACTCATTTGTTTAGTGTAACAAGACTGTACTATGCTGACCATCCTGGAGATACTGACTGTGGCTCATATGTTATTTCTTATCTCATTTTCCTCAGAAGTCCAAATTATATTGCATTCCAAAACTGGGGGTGTGCACAGGCCGGCAGGGGAATATATGCTACATCATATGAGATAAAATGTTGTGGGAACATAGCAACGTGCTCCTCCAAGGTTGCTGCTGCCATGTAGGAGTGCCTGCAAAGCATAAGCCATTACTAGCCACCTGCGTCATTGCTCAGTGATTATTTGAAGAGCCCATTGAAATTTCAGCTTGACCCAGCGATCTGCACTGCTCTTAATCACTCTGTACTGTCCCAACCTCCATGTTTTTAGAGGTTATGGTAGCAGTCAATTCAAGTAAATGGAGATGCCGTGAAATATCTGGTGGTTGGTTTCCTTACCAATATGAAGCTAGTTTATATGAATGTTATAATGTTGCTCTTTAGACTGAATTCACCAAAATAGATGTTAAAATACTAACAATTGCTTTACTGAGGTCAGATTATCATTCTTCATAGAAACATAGAAACAGCGAGTCAGAAGGGGTCTCCCTGGACATCTAGTCTGACCTCTGGCACCAGCCAGCTCCGCTCACGACATGCCCACCATGTGGAAGTCCAGCCTATCCTTGAACACCCGCACCGATGGGGCCTCAACAACCTCTCGTGGAAGCCCATTCCTCACCCTCGGGGTCCTGACTGTCAGGAAGTGCTTCCTGGCATCCAAATGGAACCTTGGCTCCCTGAGCTTTGCTCCATTGGAGCGTGTCCTGCCTTCCTCTGCAGGGGAGAACAGGTCTCTACCCATCTCCATGTGACATCCCCTCACATACCTGTATGTCACCAACATATCCCCTCTGAGTCTCCTCTTCTCCAGGCTGAAGAGACCCAGTTCCCTCAGTCTCGCCTCATGCCCCATCCCCTGCAAACCGGCCACCAACCTTGTGGCCCTACGCTGCACTGACTCCAACCTGGCTGTATCCTTTCTGTAATGAGGGGCCCAAAACTGAACACAATACTCCAATTGCGGGCGCACCAGAGTCGTGTAGAGTGGTAGTAATACCTCTCTTGATCTAGAAGCCACACTTCTGGCTATGCAACCAAGGGTGGCGTTCGCCCTCTTGACCACCGCATCACCCTGCTGACTCATGTTAAGCCTGCAGTCAACCAGCACCCCGAGGTCCCTTTCACAAGTGCTGCTCTCCAGCCACTTGTCCCCTAACCTGTACTTATTCCTATGCCCCAAGTGCAAGACCTTGCACTTATCCACATTGAACGCCATCCTGTTGTCTCCTGACCACTTCCATAGTCTGTCCAGATCCTTTTGGATCTGGAGTACCTGCTTCTCCGTTGTGGCCACTGCTCCAGTTTTAGTGTCGTCTGTGAATTTGATCAGCAGACTGTTCAGCCCTTCTTCCATGTCGTTAATGAAAAGATTAAACAGGATCGGCCCCAGGACAGAGCCCTGGGGGACCCCGCTTGTCCCTGGCTGCCATCCCGATGATTCCCCGCTAATGGTTACCTTCTGCTTTCGGTCAGTCAACCATGCCCTAATCCACCGGACAGTGCTTTGGTGTGTCCCAAAACTCCTCAGTTTCTCCACCAGGATATCATGGGGCACTTTGTCAAAGGCCTTGCTGAAATCCAGGTATACCATATCCACTGCATCCCCTCCATCTAGCCATCGTGAAACCTTGTCATAGAATTCCACAAGGTTTGTCTGGCAGGATCTGTTTTTGCAGAAGCCGTGTTGTGTGGCTGTCAGCCTCCCTTCCCTATCTAGCATCACTAGATCTCTCTCTATTATGAGCCTTTCCATTGTTTTCCCTACAATGGACGTAAGGCTAACCGGTCTATAATTCCCCATGTCCTTTCTACTACCCTTTTTGAAAATTGGGACCACTGATGCTACCCTCCAGTCCTCTGGAACTTCACCCATTCTCTACGAGGTCTCAAAAATGAAGGCCAGCGGGCGTGAGAGAACCCCTGCCAACTCTCTAAGTACTCTCGGGTGTAACCCGTCAGGGCCTGGCGCCTTTGTAATGTCCAATGCCCTGAGGAGCCCCTCGACTTCAAGGGGGGTGACTCTAATCTGTGCCCCTAAGTCCCCAGCCTCATCTAATCTCCTATGCGGATATCCCCCGTCCTGCTTTGGGGAGAACACAGAGGCAAAATAGTCATTTAGCATCTGTGCCTGTTCCCTCATATCAGTCACTGAATCTCCTTCCTCCTTATTTAGTGGTCCCACCACTTGTCTCCCCTTCCTCTTCCTATTTACATGGTGAAAGAAGCCCTTTTTGTTGCTCTTGATATTCTTGGCAAGTCTCAGCTCGTAATCAGCCTTAGCCTTGTGAAGAATCCTTCTGCAACGGGCCTCCTCCTCCCGGTATACCCTTTTGTCTGTTTCCCCCAGTACCCATTTCCTACGGAGGTTCCTCTTTCATCTAATCCCTTTAACCACCTCCTTTCGCATCCATGGCTGCAGTCTCCTCTGCCTCCCCACCGTACTGACTAGAGGTATTGTCAAGGCTTGCGCCTCCGAAACCTCCCTTTTGAGTGCTATCCACCCCTGCTCAACTCGCTTACCTTCCAGTAACCTATCCCAGGAGACTTTCCCCAGTCTGGCCTTCAGTTGGCCAAAGTTGGCCCTCTTGAAGTCCCAGCTTCTAGTGCTCGACCTGCTGCACGTCCCCAGTCCCCTGATCTCAAAGCAAAGGATGGAGTGATCACTCGCATCCAGAGCTCCCCTAATCTGTACTTCATCTATCAGCTCCTCCCTATTGGTCAAGACCAAGTCAAGGATGTTTCCCCCCCTTGTCGCCTCTCGGACCCTCTGTGTGAAAAACGCTCCCTCTATAGCTTCTAGGAAGCGGCTTGACCTGGCTGTCACCGCCAAGTGAGTCTCCCAAGTAATATCCGGGAGATTGAAATCTCCCATAATTACTGTGTCTCTCCCCCGAGATATCCTTAGAATCTGGCCTGTCAGGACATCATCCAGGGTCTCAAGTTCATCTGGAGGCCGATAACATACCCCCACTGTCAGGTCTCTTTCCCTGTCAAAACCCCTAAGTTTCACCCAGACTGCCTCTACCGAATCCCCATCTGTGCTGCATTCTATCTCACTGCATCCTATCCCTGACGTATAAAGCCACGCCCCCATCTCTCTTTCCCTTCCTGTCCTTTCTAAAAAGGTGATACCCTTCTATGTTCATGTTCCAGACTTGCCTTTCATCCCACCAAGTTTCTGTGATTCCCACCAGATCATACCCTCCTATTCCCAGGAGAGCTTCAAGCTCTTCCTGCTTATTACCCATGCTCCTAGCATTGGTGTACATGCTGTATTCTGACAACAGTACAATCAACATATGCCCTTATCTGAGCATCATCGATGACTTGAGCTAGACACTCCCCTCTGGAATATATATTGGCTTCTAGAACATTCTTTAGAGAGGCTTCTGAGGCAAGCACACTTTGATGTATGTATGGGTCACGGGTGGAGGAAATGTCTGGATCCCTAGACAGGTGGAATCTTCATTCCTTTTCCTCCACAGCTAAAATCCAGCTGGGTTGAATTCCTTCTTGCAGAAGAGTCACATTGGATTTGTGGTTGTGACTGCACCTTCATTGCCCTGTCATCCCAAAGTGTTTCTGGAGAAGTTTGGAAAGAACGGTGTGTTCTTTCTCAGGGTCTTTCTAAGAAAGGATTGGTGCTAATTAGTGCTAATCTCACTAATCATTAATCTGATTAATTCCCTAGTTCACAGATAAATGCAGCAGCAGCAGGTGTTTCCACACTTGGATCTCTGCCTCTCACTTCTAGGACATATGGTTGATGCTGGATTGCTTAGCTAGCTAGGTAGAGTAAGTTTAGAAGGGGGGCCCTCGAGTTTCTAAAAAAATAAGTAATAAACTGAGAAACACTGTCTTCAAATGAAGATTGAATATACGTATATTTTAATACATCTTGGTTGTAGAATCCATGCTATAGAACTGTCTATTGTGATTAGAAATAGTCTTGTAAGACTGAAGTATTATGACTGTAATATAATTAAAGTTTCTATTGCAGCCACATGCACAGTTCAAGCTGGAAAGCAGCATGTTTCCTGAAGGGCAAGCATGTATCCAAGAAACACTTGTTGAGCAAGCACAGAAATACACAGAGATATACAAAGATAGCTAATCTTTCTCTTTGCTACTTGTCCACAGGGGGTTCCTGCTAGCATCACATTTTTTAGTCCATCTGGTGTCAAGTATTGTCTGAAGCAGATCCTGACATTGTCCGGTGATCTCATGCCCCAGATTAAGGTAAAAGTCCTTCAGCAGCTATTTAGAAAATTGATATTGCATAGTAAGTTGTTTTAATTTGCTGGTTATATATCATCTGCTTTTCTGCCTCTTAATTGTGGGTGTGGACCTGAATGAGCACCTTTTAGTTGCCTTAAGTGCTTTTGTAGTTGGGATCTCCAACTTTTTTTTGGCACAAGAGCACACTGGAGAAACTGCTGTGGGCACCACTACAAAATACCTAATCCATGCTTCTCCACTTTGACATCTACTGGTTAACATCTAGGCATTTTAGATCGCATGTTACGCTGCAAAACTTTTGTAGCTGTTGGATAATTTCAATTTAGCCAATTGCTAGTGGTTCAGTACAGCGAATGCTTTTTTAAAACATATGTTTTGACAATGTCCAGTAGTTGCTTCTTGGGAAGAGGCTATTACTCAGATAAATTTTGTAAAGGAACAGTCTTTGATATGTATTGTTCTTCATGGCCTCTGCACATCACACACATGGTCTGTGTGCCTGTCAGGGGGATTTTCCTAGCTAAACTTGTTTTGATGGGAGCCCTGCCCTAGATACACAATAGACAGAGACCCTTACAATGATTTCCATATTTCTTCTGCCATTGATATTGGCAGAGTTGCAGGGCTCACATGTTGCTAAATGTCTAGCTTGGGAGGAGCAGGCTGATGCTTTTTTAAAGCAATGTGTTTTTATGCAGTATGCAGTTGAAATCTGAGGGAAGAATGTTTTACTTTGGCACGTAGAATTCCCTGTCCAGATTGGATTTGGCAACTGTAAGCTAAGCTATTTAGTACGTAATTTCAAAACTACTTTCTGGCAGTGGAAGTTGATAAAAAGATTGGCTGATTTTGATTAGTTGAAGTTATTTTAGATAGAGAATGCAAGTTTGATCTGCATTTGACTCAACAGATGAATGTACACACACACACACACACACACACACACACTTCTAAGACTTAATCCAAACTATCTGTCACTGGAATACGTTTCTGACATGATACCCTGTAGAAAGGAAGAGCTGATGCAAGTTGCTGTCTGTGTTGCATATAACATGGCTGGCTGGCTGGCTGGTTTGTTTGTTTTTCCTTTTCAGTTTGCTGCTATAGGTCCAACAACAGCTGAAGCAATAGCAGCTGAAGGAATCTCAGTGAGCTGCACTGCCAGCAGTCCTTCACCAGAGGATCTCACCACTGGTATTAGAAGAAGTCTCCAGCTGTAGAATTCTTGCCACATTTTGAGGCTTTCTGCGCTTGAAATTATGCAGCTTGGCAGTAGTATCCCTCAAATGAAAAATGACTTCCTTGTAATGGGAAGTGTATGGCTATTCCTAGTATTCATGAGGATAAGAAGTCATGCAGTCTCTGTCTTGTAAGATGCTGTACACCTTTATATTGTATTAACAGTGGTGACTGATGCAAATTTCAGCTAAGCTCAACTGACTATAACGGCAGTCAGCTTATATGGTCAGTTCCTTCAATCTTACCCTGATAAATATGAAACCAAGTGCTACTGTGTTTTCAAAATAGTAACAAAGCATTAGATTCTACTTTGCCTTCTCATCAGACCTTAGATTTTGTGTAACCTTTTAATTGTCCAAATAAATGTTTTGTTGCATTTAAACACCTTCCAGAAATAGACTTCTAAAGAACACTTTACCCAGTACTGATAGTTGATCCTTTGTAATGCTTTCTGTGCACCTGACAACCAGATTTTGATCATTGTGCATGCAGTAGCAAATAGACATGACATTGAGGTCACTTTGTCATAAACTAAGCAGGCTGGCTTAGATTGAGCCATATATGCGGCTGATAAGCATTCTGTTTATTAACCAGCTTGTTTTCATACAACAAAAATGGTGTTGCCTTGTAGGAGGGAGAATTGTTATGAAGTCATCTTTCCAATAAAAGTCCAAATACCATCTATTTCTTCTTTTATACCTTGAAATATGCAGAGCAAAGCATAGAAAAATATTGAGGCTGCTATGAGACAACTGAGAAATCTTTTTCGTCTAGACTGCAAAGTGGTCTTCCAAGCACAATTCCAGTTGCTCTGTACTGCCCTCTTAAATACTCTAATTTTCGTGACTTTGAATTTATGTCTATATAATAGGTACTATTGTAGAGCTGTAATATTTCTAACTAGAAAGATTTAGCAGGACTCTTCCACTGAAGGGTTAAGTGATGCTACCAGAAATTGTACTGATTGTATCATAACAGTTCATACAACTGTTAAGAATACTTGGAATATCACACAGGAGATATGCTGTCTTATTTGCAAAGCAAGAGCCAGACTCGTAGAAAAGCATCAAGTTAGAACATCAGTAGCATCTAGTTTTTTCAGACAGGAGGCATGATGCCAGACTACTCAATGCAGAGCAAAGGAAAAGGTACATTACACCAGTTATTCAGTGCTCTGGCTTAGCTACTGACAGTTCCTGCTGTGTAATTTCTCTTGGATGCCAAAGTATATTAACTGTAAGGCCAAAGGGGAGAGAATTGCTGCTTATAAAACACAAGGGACAAAGTTTATAGGCGATCCAACTGCTTTGCAGTCACTGGTCAGTATTACTGCATGATCCACACTTTCAGAGTCAGTGCATGTACAACCATTTCAGTCTCTGCATTTCCATGCTTGTGTATGATTTTTCTTAAACTCCAGTGTCAAAGGTTGATTGACCTCACCACACCAAAAGGCTGAAGTTTTGATTCTACAAGATTGCAGACTTGCTGATTCTCCACTTAGCAAGAAACTACAAACATGTTTGTAGCTATCTATTTGAAACTCTCTTGCCTTCCAAAATGTCTTCAGCAATGTTATTAACCATTAATGTGACCTTTTCAAAGCATTATTTTTAAGGGCATCACCTTTTTCAAAATATTTCCTATGGTAAATTTGTTAATCTCCCATTCAAGATTATCATGTCCTTTTTCAAAAAGACAGTAAAGAGTCTAATAATAACATTATCACTCTTAAGCTCATGGGGAGGCCTCTCAGATAGCTGCTTTCCCATAACCTTTTGAGGAGGGGCTTCCTCAATCTCTTTCATACAGCCAGCCAGCTCCCAGGTCACAGACAAGTCATCCGCTTATATAAATCATCAAAGGCTTATATAAATCATCAAAGGGCAGGGGACATAGCTTTTTGACTTGAGTATGTACAGATTTACACAGATTCTCTTAACTTACCATAGGTCTATCAAGAAAACAATGATGGCTGTTATGTAGATAAGGAAGGTGCAAGGGAATTCTTGTCTTCCTAACAACAAGTATTACCTTCCTTCTGAAACAAGAAGGATATTCAAACAAAAGTTGCCAGTAACTAGTCTATATAATTGAAAACTAGGCTGGATGACTTTAATTGGTTCTTAATTGGTTCTCGGAGCTACTCCTTTTTTCATGTAGCATGAGACCACTGTCTGAATTTCCCCCCCCCCATGTGGTTTCTTGTCAGTGTCAGTAGCTTAAGCTCCTCACCTTCCTCTAGCCCTTGAGAGGACCTCTTTTGGCCTGGTGTGAAGATCCAGGATCCCCATTCAACTGGCAGTAAACATTTCAGGGAATAGCAGATACCACCTGACATTATGCTGACAACTGAACTTAGATTTGTGGTCTCTCTCTGACCAAAATCACATAGTCAATGCTGAGAGTCTGTTTTTTTAAATGTGTCTTCAGCATTCATTTATTTATTAACTAACCACTTCTATATTTTATATCAAAGTTTAGCTTAATATATACATGAACATGCTATCAGTAATACCTACTATAAAAGTAATTGTCAAAAAGATGTTGTGTAGGCAAAGCACCACTTACTCTACCAAGTGAATCACTCTAGCCAGAACTGCTAACTCCAGTCTCCTAAGTGAACAGCTGTGCCTTTTACATTTTAATCAACTACTGCCTTCCATAGGATGGCTGCTGCCTCACAACCATTGCTGCTGTGCTGATTTAGTCGCCCTTGGATAGTCACCACTAAGATGGTGGTCACCTTACACCTATCCAAGGAGGTGCTTGTATGGCCTCCTCTCAGATGGCTGCTTCCTCATAGCCATTTGAGGAAGTGCTTATTTGATCTTACTTATTAATTCAACACAAACCTCACAGAGACATTTCTTTCTACATATAATCAAATATGCACAATTGGCTAAGAAACTTTATTTACCCTTAAGATACAGTTAGCAGTGTTGGCTGCCATTTGGAAAATTCAGACTGCAATGAGGCACACCACAGCTTGCCTTTACACATGCCAACAAGGGTGGGTTATTTGGGTGGCTGACAAGCCAGCTGCAACCCTAAAGCTTGTTAGGGTAGCCTTTTAACCACTCTAAAAAATAACCTCACTAGCATCACACATAACAAAAATATCAAGCTGCTGCTTGAATTTTTAAAATGCAAAATGGCAAGCCGTGCAGTCAAATTCATTCCCAGTGACTTGCAATTAATTACCGACCAGGTTTATCTCTCTGTTCACTTTTAACTATCTGCTAAGGTGGCAAGAAACTTGCCCACATTTGCTTTCATATTTCATTCACACAAACGCTAAAGTAGGCATGGCAATACCAACTACATTATGAACTAAAGCATTTATTTATACCAGTGGTATTAACAACGGCTAGTGCTGTGATTCATAGAACAGTAGAGTAGGAAGGGGCCAAGGAGGCCATCAAGTCCAACAACCCTGCTGTTCCAGGACACCCACTCAAATGACTATCCAGTTTCTTTTTGAATGTCTAGTGTGGGAGAGCCCACAACCTCTCTAGGAAAGTGGTTCCACTGTCATCTTGCTCTGACAGTGAGGAAACTTTTCCTGATATCTAGCCTGAATCTGGGTTGTCTCAACCTGAGCTGATTATTCCATGCTGTACACTCTGGTATCAGCGAGCTCTTGTCCTCCTCCTCTTTCTGACAGCCTTTCAGGTATTCATGTCCCAATTCAGTCTTCTTTTCTCAAGGCTGAACATACCCAGTTCTCTCAGTCTCTTTTCTGGTGGATTTTTGCAAACCTAGGATCATTTCTAATGCCTTTTTCTGAACGTTTTCTACGAGGGTTCTTCAAAAAGTTTCCACTTTTATCAGTATATTTTATATGTTTTTTCCTTATGGCATTAAAAAGGTGATGCTGGGGAAAATGCATCACAAATAAAGGTGACGATGTAGAAAAGTGATCTGATTTGTTTTTTAAATTCTTAATAGTTTTTAAAAGTACGAAAACTTTTAGAACACTTGTACTTCTGCACCTTTCTTAAATCTTGGTGTCCCGAACTGGACACTATTCTAGATGAGGTCTGACTAGTGAAGAGTATAGAGGAACTATTACTTCTCATGCTTTGGAAGAAATACTTCCATTAATGCATCCCAAAATAGCATTTGCCATTTTTGCAGCTGCATTGCATTATTGGCTCAGTATTAGGCTGTTGTCCATAATAATGCAGTAACACAATAACCCCAGGATCTTTTTCTTTTTCAGTTCCGTTGAGCTACATATTCCCCATCTTGTATTGATGCACTTGGTTTCTTGATAGAGGGCTTGGCATTCGTCTCTATTGAATCTCAATTTGTTGCTTTCAGCCCAGCGTTCAAGTTTATCAAAATCTTCCTGGATCTTCATTCTGTCTTCCAAGGTGTTTACTATTCCACCCAGTTTTGTATCATCTGCAAATTTGATTATCATTCCTTTCACTTCATAATCTAAATTATTAATATGTTGAAGAGCCTTGAGCCTAGAATTGAACCCTGTGGCTTATAAAGAAATTCATTTTAGTACCTGAATTGAAATTCGTTGGAAAGAATTCATTGGAAAGATAAATTCCAATTTTGGGATGGGGAGGAAATACGAGACACCACATTTACAGGCTAATAAATCTATGGCTAGATGGAGAGGATGCAGTGGATGTGGTTTACCTGGATTTCAGCAAGACCTTTGACAAAGTGTCCCATGATATCCTGGTTGAGAAACTGAGGAGTTTTGGGATACACCAAAGCACTGTCAGTGGATTAGGGCATGGTTGACTGACCGAAAGCAGAAGGTAACCATTAGCGGGGAATCATCGGGATGGTGGCCAGTGACAAGCAGGGTCCCCCAGGGCTCTGTCCTGGGGCTGATCCTTTTTAATCTTTTCATAAATGACATGCAAAAAGGGTTGAACAGTCTGCTGATCAAATTCGCAGACGATACTAAAACTGGAGCAGTGGCCACAACGGAGGAGCAGGTACTCCAGATCCAAAAGGATCGGGACAGACTATGGAAGTGGGCAGGAGATGACCGGATGGTGTTCAATGTGGTCTTGCACTTGGAGCATAGGAATAGGTGTCATAAGTACAGGTTAGGGGACAAGTGGCTGGAGAGCAGCACTTGCGAAAGGGACCTCGGGGTGCTGGTTGACTGCAGGCTAAACATGAGTCAGCAGTGTGATGCGGTGGTTAAGAGGGCGAACGCCACCCTTGATTGCATAGCCAGAAGCGTGGTTTCTAGATCGAGAGAGGTATACTACCACTCTATACAGCTCTGGTGCGCCTGCAACTGGAGTACTGTGCTGTTTTGGGCCCCTCATTACAGAAAGGATATAGCCAGGACAGAGTCAGTGCAGCGTAGGGTCACAAGGTTGGTGGCTGGTTTGCAGTGGATGGGGTATGAGGTGAGACTGAGGGAACTGGGTCTCTTCAGCCTGGAGAAGAGGAGGCTCAGAGGGGATATGTTGGCAACATACAGGTATGTGAGGGGATGTCACATGGAGATGGGTAGAGACCTGTTCTCCCCTGCAGAGGAAGACAAGATGCACTCCAACCGAGCAAAGCTCAGGGAACCAAGGTTCCATTTAGATACCAGGAAGCACTTCCTGACACTTCGGACCCCAAGGGTGTGGAATGGGCTTCCACGAGAGGTGGTTGAGGCCCCATTGGTGAGGGTGTTCAAAGATAGGCTGGAC